GTTTAGCTGTGAGGATGCTGTGGGAGACTGAAAGATCCAAAAACCAATCCATTTTCTACACTTTCTACCCAGCTACTTTTATAGAGAAGGTGATTTTTACTTCAGCTGGTTGTTATTTGCTAGTTGCGTCACTAATTTTTCTTATCGCTGTTGTGTACTAAAACTCCTGATGTGGCTTTTGCAGGATGTGCTTTGTAGTGATACAAAATAGTAGAATAATGGTATTTAATGGTGTTAAACTTTCAGGTGACTATGGCTTGAGTTTACCTCTTGGAGAAGAATATGAACGAAAAAGACATAAACTCAGAGAGGAACTTCGACAAGATTATAGGCGATATCTTTCTCAGGTAAAGCTCTTATCTGGTTTTCTGAGTTTAGTGAGTATTTTAAAATTATCCTCCCATTTAAATGGAATGAAAACGAGTAAAATCTGTGGAAAATCCTTATAAGAAGGCATTCATTATAAGCAATGGCTGGTTTCGAAGACTCAGGTAAAAGTAACTTCAAAATGTCAGTGCTAGGAAAAGTTATATATTTTAGGCTTGTATAGATTTCATTGCCATGAGACTACATATTATGTAGTACACTTTATTCTGAATACTTTTATTTATTTGTCTCTACTTCTTTCTTAGTTTCCTCTTAAGAATTTAAAATATAATCTGTTACTTCCTTAAGTTCTTAGGTGTTCTATGGTCTGTGATTCAGGTAATAATCCTGTAATTAGTGTCACTCCAGTTGAAAGCTTCTTTTCAATTTTAGAAATCAAAAACCTTTGAAGTTCTGCTTAGCATGATTTATTAAGTGTCACATTAAATTTAAAATTGAAATGGTATGAATGAAATGTCATAATCTTTGGAATATTCTGTATCCCTTCTTAGTCAAACAGAAAAGAAATCAGGAACCAAATAATTTCTGTTGTCTGAAAATGCTAATTATCAATGTCTTTAGTTCTTAAAGTGATAGAATGGATTGGCTTTAAGAATAGAAATCTTTTTTTATTAAGTCAGATGTTCTTGAATGAAAGACTCTTTTTGAATAGTATCTTTTCTCTGACTTTTAGGGTATTTCACAGGCAAAAAGAAAGGTAAGGTGCCTGCAATATATTTTTTTTCCTTCAAATTAGTTGCTTTTTGCTTTTTCTTTTTTGATTTGTGCTCTTTGAATTAAAAAAAAATCATTACTTTTTATGCTTTGTGTGCTTGTGCATGCTGTAGTGATTAGTTGTGATTAACAGCATTATTTGCTTTGTGCAAAATGATTGCTTATGTTTATTATTTTCCTTTAACAAGATTTAAAAACATTTGTTGATTCTTTCTTTTCCTTCGCAATTGCTATTGCTGTCTAATGCTGACTTTACAGTTTTGTTTTTAGGAGACATTTGCTTCAAGGCTTATCAGTCACATAAATGTTATGAATTCAGATTTTATTTTTCTTGATATACATATCTTATAAAGCTGGAATAATGCCATAAAATCTGAAATAGTATAATATGGTATGGAAACTGGAGTCAGAGCTTTTTTCTTCCCCATCACTGTGAAATCTCAGTGACGATGCTCAGGAAAGCAGTGGAGCCAGTTATTCAGCACCTAGTGGCCAGAACGCAAGAATGCAAGTGTCGTAAGTTAAAAATAATACCAGGCAGGGGCACATTTTTGCAAGCTTTGTTCAATTACAAATTCAATTATTTTTAATTATTTATATCATTTTACTGTCATGTTTATATAGCTTTCAAATTTAACTCTGTCCATCCCAGTCATTCAAATTAAGCAACTTCAGTAATGGACCAGGAGGTAAAGTGGTAGAAACATAACCTTCTGTGTTTTCTGAAGCTTTGAATAACATGCATATGATACGAATTAACTATATTACCATGCACTGGAATTCTTGAATAACAATAGCAACAGCAGAATTAACTCGCTTCTTAACCTTTAGCCAAAATGATGCTTATATAATTGTTGCTTCTTGTTTAAGCTTAAACTTTAGATTGTTTTCAAAGTTAGAATATTGTGTTATAACCTAATGTTTCATAATTCTCACCAAATTACCAAAATAATGTAATTTTTACGTTAGCTTCTAGTTTTTTATTCTCAATCGAATTTCAGTTTTACAAATTTAGGTTTACAGTGTAGTACACCTTAGCTATATTAAACTTGTAAGGCCTGAGGACAAGATAAGATTACATTCTCTAATTTATTTTCCCCACATAAAGAGAGAGTGCAACTTTTCGCAGCTGTCATAGTGATATTATTTTGGTTAATAACCTGTTTGGTCTCACTTATGTAGAAAGCGCAGTTTCCATATCAGCTTCTGATTTTTGGCAAATACCTTTTTAAGATCAGAGGTAATCTCTATTCATGGTGTTCAAAGTGTGGAAAGAATTACTTAGTAATGAGGATTACAGTTTATTTACTTTTTCTGTTATAAATAACTTGGTTTTCCGTATTAATTGTCTCAGTGCTTGAATATTTGCATGATTATGAAATCCATTAAATGTTCTAATGTGTAGTTTTGAAATATAATTCATGATGATGTCGCTTTGTACTGGAACAGGTAGAGTTCTTACCTGTTAATGTGCTTCTAAGCTTTTAAGCTACGTTACGCCACAGGTCATGGAAGGAAACAGTGCTATTGAAGTACTGTATCTGACCCATTCCCCTCATCAGGGGATATGTTCATAAAACACACGTTGTTGACTGAGAGTGGCCTCGGTGTTCTTTTAGTAAATGAGTGCTGTATGAAGAAGCCACTAGACCTGGAAGCTGAGGACCTGTTCCAGCATTGGTCTTTGATTTGAAAGGCTGATACTTTGCACAGCCTGATTCCTGAGCTAGGGCCCAGGGCGTTGTACGGAGCAACAATGTAGTGTTTTCAGCTCAAAGTTCTGTTCTGAACAGCCTTGATGATCCGTAAGGAGTATCAAGATTTGATGATGGGTCATTGTCCTGAAACATTTGGGGACTACTGTTGTAGAAAACAGATAGTGTTGAGATGCAGAATGGTGACTCTGCTGGCGTTACCATGGATTCCCTCTGTTAAAATGAGAGGTAGAGATACATTTTCTGCAGTTAGAAAAAGCAGTTTTTCATCTTAAGCAAGGTAGTGTATTGGAAAATTCCTCATTTGCTTTTACAGATGTTTGTGCTTGTGCTACTTGCTTATAGGAGAATTGAGTAATGGTGGGGTTTTTTTGAATTAATATATTAATTTTTAATATACAGAGATGAACTTATTCTTGTGATTTAACCTGGCAAGCAAGCAGCTAAACACCATGTGTCTCACTTGCTCGCTCATGGGATGAGGGAGTGAATTGGGAGAGTAAAAGTCTCATCAGCTGAGATAAAGACTAATAATTAAAATTAACCAAACTTAAATAATAATAATAGTATCAATGAATTGTAGTAAGAATAGGAATACTGATAATAAAGCAATCAAAGTTACGCGAAGCTCTCAAACAGCCGTTGCTGGCCATATGCCAATGAGAACGCAACAAAGGAGGGGTAAGCCTCAGGAACCGAGATGGGTCAGCATCACGAAGTAGTAGGGAAGGAAGAGAAGGGGTCAAAGGAGGGATCAAAGGAAGGAAGACGTCATCCTCTGCAAACTCCCCAATTTATAGCGAGTGTGATGTTTGTGGAGTAGAAAACATGTTTATAGGTCTGTTTGGATCATACTCAGATCATCTGTCCTGAGTCATCTGTCCCAGAAAATCCTGGGCTTTCACTTTGGCCCCATCCTCTTGTGCAGAGAGAAGGGGAAAAAAAAAAGAAATAAACAAAACAAAACTATAACCACAGGTGCTGGGGAAAGACTGAAAAAAACAAACCTTGAGATAATATAAACATCTCACATTATCAATATCCCTCTTAGCATAAATCCAAAACAAAGTCTCACCAGCTACTACGCGGGAAAGAAAACAACTCTGTGCCAGCAAAACCAGGACACTTACGTAATCTTTGCATTAGCGTAACATGAAAGAATTAACAGACACTTTTAAACTGAAGTTTAAACCTTGGCAAAGCCCTTCGTTTTCCCCATTCCTTGACTTTGTTTCATTCATGTCTTCCAAGAGCATACTGCATTTTCAAAATGTGAAGGTTGTCTTCAGTCCTTAGTTCATTACATTGATCAGTTTTATTTCAGAAAATATAATTCCTGTCAACTATTTAGCAAGTAAGATTTGGTATCTTAAAATATATTGAATTATTTTTATGTTTTTAATGCAGAAAAATTATCTAACTACTGGTGAAGTAGATCCATATACTCAGGGATTATCTCTTCCTATCGATGAGAGAAGGTCTGCCAAGGTAAATATCTGGAGGAAATTAAGTGGTGTGTAACTTTAAAATTAACTTGGATGTTTAAACTGTTGTGGAAAAGTTATTTCCACTTACATTTTTTTGTTTGGTTGGGGTTTTTTTACACTGTTTACTAATTAACATTTTTGAGGTGGTGGTTAGAATAGTTCTCAGGAAAGCCAAGTCTTCAAATTGTGTTGTTTTTAAATTTTTAATCCTAGGTTACCTGTACTCTTAATTTGTAGATAGTTAGATATGTAAGTAAATACTGATACTAGTTTGAGGTTTGCTACTTCTAATTCACACCTGCAGGGCACTTGGTGTGTTTAGAAGCTCTAGTGGTTGTGCTTGCTTTTTGTTCAGCAATAAATACTGATCTAATAAAAAATACTGTTTTTCTTACAGTGATGTAAACTTTTCTAATTTATGACTCCTCTTACTGCAGCCAGGGGATGCTTTTAAAAGTATTTGCTTGTAGTTGTTTCTGCAGTAATATTCTTATCAGTTCCTATCAGAACTAAAGCAAGTGTGCTTTCTGCTGTACACCATTTGTTTGTCTGTCTTTGTGTGTGTTTAACCTACCTGCTTATCCTCTTGTGATTTTTTTTTATTTATTTTTTAAACAGAGAAATCCAGGAATCTAAATAAAAGCTGATCTGGAATTTGACATACTATCTGCTGTTAATATAGGAATCTTCCCAAGTTCCAATCTTTCTTTGAGAGTACAGATACTAATGTGTTTTGTAAAAGGAGTACACGTTCTCTCCCTGTGTTTAGGCCCTTTGATTTCCCTGAGGTTTTTTATCAGTTTTTGGTCTTGCTTTCGTATGTTTGAGAAAGATACCAGCCAGAAGAGCCTCTCTGCTATTGGAGGTTCATGGAGGTTAGAATATGAAGATGCAACATGTGTACGTGGATTTTCTTAACCTCTGATCCATTCCTCTGATGCATATTAAGAATCTGTGAAAGACTAAATGTGTCTTACAGGGGTCACCTCTCCTCCTGCCCTCACACTGTTGGTCTTGCATGCCCAGTACCTGTCTTGTATTTGTTTCCAAATTGATCCAGGGAGTTGAATCAGCAGAAATGCTGTAATTTAGCAAATGTTTTTGCTGATGCAATGGACATCACTGGTTGGTTGCTAGGACTGGTCAAACCCCAGGGTGGATGCAAGGGAGGAAGAGAAACTGTGGTGCTTGCTAGAGGAAGACTGGACTGGAGTTTTGTTTTGGGGATCTTTTGTGGTTGTTGTTTTTTTTGGGTTTTTTTGGTTTGGTTGTTTTGGGTTTTTTTGACATATGTTGCTCTGGAGTTGCATTGTTTGTGTTTGGGGCTACGCTGTCACTGTCATCTGGTGCAAGATTTCTGCTATGCAGTGTGTTGATCTTGCCCTTGCTGTGCTTACTTATGCTTTCTGCCTCTCTTGTGCTGGCAATAGTGTTTGGCCATATGAGTCGTCAGGTGAGAACTCAAGTGAAAACTGCTGGTACGAAAAAGCCCCAAACTCCAAATTATACTAGTGTTAAAAAAAAGAGAGGCAACAAGAATGAAATGCCCAGGAAGGGGAACGGACCCGGCAGCATGCATTTGTGCTGAATTTGTTAGCTTCACGTTCTCGTGAACTTTGTGTTAACCCTTGCGAGTATGCGTGTCGAAACAGTGCAAGATAAAGTATCCTTGGTTAATTCCGTGGAAATTAAAGATGTCTCTGGACTGGGAATGTCTGATAATTGCTGGGTTTATATCATAGCATCTCAACATTCGTTGAGATTTTCAGTACAAGTGTGTTGTATGCTTTTTACCCGTTTATTTATGACTACTGTAGAACCTAAAAGCTGCCAAAAGGTGTCACACTGTGCCCTGCTAAACGGCTAGCCTCAAGGCAGATGATGAGTAGAGGTTAACATTTGCATTTTGGTTTCCTCCATTAGGTGAAATGTGCAGTCACACAGCATATTGAGTCTTCTGCTGAGTGTTTTGCCATCTGTTAAAGACAATGCTGGTTTCTTAGCTCTGAAAAATACCCCTCAGGCAGCTTTCATAGCTGTCTGCAGGTTTTATATTGTCACTGTCAGAAAATGTATAGGCACAAATTTTGAAAAAAAATTGGTTTTGGGGAGCATTGGTCTCACTTGCAAAACTATGACTAAGCTGATATTTCCATGGCGATTGAAGTATAAGTTATTTTTGTTTGAAATTTTACATGGACAATTAAATTTATATATAATGTTCAGATTTTTTTAATACTTTTTGCTTTTTTTTGGAAAATACTGCAGTGGAGAAGAACATGGCTTGTAATACTGTAATATAATTCTCTTCTCTCATTTATATGAGGGTTGAATGAGGTAGTATAAGAGATGCCCCATGCTCCAAATGTAAGGTACTAATACCAGGAAATAATGCAAATTAGAGCTTGCTTTACCTGGAAACTTGTATTTCATATTATATTATTAGGCTGTTGGTGCCTAACAATGCTAATTCCTGCATATTTTCAGACCTAAGCAATACTGTCATGTTGCAAAAGCAGCTAGGACAAGGTGGATAGATCACTGTTTTCTTAGTTTTCCTTGCATTCTTTACACTTTGACTCTTTTTGCAGTCAGCTTCACTGCTGCTTGGAATTTGACAGTTTGAGTTATTTCCTAAGCTATAATTGGCACATCTTGTCTATACATGTACTTGTTGTCCCATTTGAATTATGGGTGGGGAAGTCACAACCAACCTTAACACACAAAAAAATTTTGTTTTAAAAATCAAATCATCAAATACATTCAGATTAGAAATTAGAAGCTGACTTCTAATTGTCAAAAGAGTGAGGCTTTGGAACAATTTCAGAATAGATTTAGCAGGAGGAAACCGAACTGGTTTTAAGATGGAACTTGATATACAGTAGTGTTAATGGGGAGTAGACGTCATGCTCAAGAAGCTGACTTCTACTTACAGATTTCAGATTAGGATTATTGTGTTCAAGAATGAATGAACAAAAACCTTAAAGCAATTCAAGTCCTATTTGTACATCACAAAGAAGAGGGGTCAAACACACAGCTCGCATGTATTCATTTAATGTTGCAGTTTTATGAAGGTGAAAGTTACTCCTTAAAAATGCAGAATTATGATGCCCTTTTCAATGCCTGTTTTAGGAGAATCTACAGCTTGAAAGGAACAAGGAGTACAATCAGTATCTCAGGGATAAAGAAGAATGGAATGAAAGGCTAAGGAAATTAGGGAAGAAAAACTCAGAGGTAATACAGTTTTACTGAAGCTGATACAAAGAACATAATTACAGTGATCTTGTCAATTTCTCTATTGTTGATGAAGACATAGAAAGTATGACAAAATAAGCAAAGAATGTTGTTCAATTAGGCCACAGTTTTATTAATATATCTACCAAGTCCTGGTTAGGAGTCACGCAGTACAGTTCTTGATTCCTACTTCAGTCATGTCTTACCTGCTAGAAGGATGCTTTCGTTCTGCTGTGTGTCTGAAGCAAGTCCCTGGATTGTTCCTGGTGATAAAAGTGATGGCCAAAAACGCTGTCTCTTTGGACGAAACGTTGCGCTCTGCACAGTGTTCCTTACCTTTTATTTGTAGCTGCCTTTTCCTCAGTCTGAGTCTAGTTCATGAGAAAGCAAGGCTAGTGCAGGCAGCTGTCCAGTATATGGTGCTGTGCAATTGTGAATCAAGAAGAATGTCTTTAGTACTGAAAATGAGCTTAACACATGCATAATTGAACTCTGATTCTGAGCTGAGGCCTTTGATTTGTATGGCAGTCGGTAGCTAAGCTCCATGCAGCTGCTCACTCACTCCCTCTCCACAATGGGAAGAGGGAGAGGATTGGAAGGGCAAAAGTGACAAAAATCATAGGTTGAGACGAAGACAGTTTAATAGGTAAAGCAAAAGCTGTATGTACAAGCAAAGTCAAGTCAGGAATTCATTCACTACTTCCCACTGGCAGGCAGTTGTTCAGCTTCCTTAAAGTCTTTCATGTAGTGAGAAGTCCAAAGCTGAACACAGTATTTGAAGTGTGGCCTCACCAGTGCCAAGTCCAGGGGAACAATCACTTCCCTGGTCCTGCTGGTCACACTATTTCTAATACAAGCCACGGTGCTATTGGTTTTCTTGGCCATGTGGGCACACTGCTGGCTCATATTCAGCTGGCTGTTGACCAACACCCTCAGGTCCTTTTCTTCTAGGCAGATTTCTAGCCACTCGTCCCCAAGCCTGTAGCATTACATGGGGCTGTTGTGACCCAAGTGCAGGACCCAGCAGCAATTGGCCTTGTTAAACCTCATACAATTGGCCTTGGCTTGTTGATCCAGCCTGTCCAGATCCTCTTGTAGAGCCTTCCTACTCTCAAGGAGATAAATGCTTCCACCCAACTTGGTCCTGCCTGCAAACTTAGTGAGGGAGCACTTGATCCCCTTGTCCAGATCACTGATAAACAGAACTGGCCCCAGAGAACACCACTTGTGACTGGTCACCAAATGGATTTTACTCCAATTACCACATCTCTTTGGGCCCAGCCATCCATCGAGTTTTTTACCCAGTGAACTGTGCTCCCACCCAGGCCGTGAGCATTTAGTTTCTCCAGCAGTATACTGGGAGAAATGGTGTCAAAGGCTTTACTAAAGTCTAGGCAGGCAACATCCATAGCTTTTCCCTCATCCACTAAGCAGGTCACCTTGTCATAGAAGGAGATCAGGTTGGTCAAACAGGACCTGCCTTTCATGAGCCCATGCTGGCTGGGCCTGATCTTCTGGTTGTCCTATACCGTGTGATGGCACTCAAAATGCTCCATGACCTTCTTTGGCACCAAGGTCAGACTGACAGGCCTGACTCATGTTCAACTAGTTGTCCACCACTAACCCAGGCCGTTTTCGGCAAAACTGCTTTCTAGATAGCCAAGGCCCAGCCTGTACTGGTGCATGGCATCATTCTGTCTCAGATGCAGAATTCTGCTTTTGCAGTAGTTGATCTTCATGAGCTTTTTGTCATCATATTTCCCTGGTATGTCAAGACCTTTCTAAGTGACAGTCATGCCCTCTAGTATATTGATCCCTCTTCCCACTTTGGTGTCATGTGCATCTTTAATGTATTTTTTCATCACATTCTGTAAAGTGTTAGTTACCGTTTTCTTTTTTCCACAGGTGAATCATTAGTGCACAGAGATACTACAGAATTTATGCAAAACTATGTTGCTTGCTAGAACTGTGTAATGAACACTGGTCCAGTGTGTCATAGGGTGTTTTTTAATCCATTAAGCTATTCTTGCTCATAGTGACATCTCCTGGGAAGCAAAGAAATATATTAAGAAATGGTCAGGTTTAAAGATTGTGTTCATAGGTAAGAAGTATTACAGACTTGCCTGAATCTGATCTAATCTCTTGGTGAGGTATAAAGTTGAAAGTGTTTTTTGATTCTTTACACCTCTGAATCTGAAGGTCAAGTGGACTTATGGAGTTCATAACAGGCCTGTTCCATTCTTCTGAAAAAACATTAAATAAGAGAAAGTGTTGTGTTTTTTTGTTCGTTTGTTTTGGTTGGGTGTTTTTTTTAGTTTTTGTTTTCTCAAGTTAAAAAAAAAATCCCTAGCTTTTAAGCCCTCCTTGAAGTATTTTTCTTGCTCACCTCCTGCCTTTTCTTCAGTACCTGTTTAGGGATTGTTTGAAGAGATACAAAACCAAGTTTTTGCTCAATGTGATTTGTTTATATTCAGATCTTTTTTTTTTTTCCCCCCCATTAAGCAGAGTGAGATGGACAGGAACAGAAAACCTATTGCTATTACCACGCTCCAGCCAGAACTACATACAGAAGTACAGCCCTGTAATACAGATGCAGAGCCTCCCAAGAAAAATGCGTTTACTTCTACAGAAGGTTATGAAGAGCTGCTAAATAAGAGATGGCTGGAGGAAGACAGGTATCATAGGTTAGATGATGAGGTTGAATTAAGAAGTCGACTATTAAATAGAAGACTTGAAGAAGATTTGGATGTTCCCAACCGAAGACATCGTGGGCTTGCTAGCCAACCTGTGATTCCCATTAGGAAGCATCACAGACTTGATGAGGATTTTTGTAGAAGATACTCCAGAATGGACTATGATCCTGAGATAACTGAAGAAATGGACCCTAGATTTAGATGTGAAAGTGCTTATGACAGAAGAACTCCCCGGATTTTTTATGCTGAAAGGTATTCTTAATTCCATTTTCCACTTTATTTCTGTAGTGCTTGTTGGCAGCCATGGTTTACTCTTACTGCAAATCAGACAGGATTCACGCATGAAAGCAGGGGTTTTGTACTTACTTTAAAAAGCAACTTTGATCTTCAGTTTTTGGTACATGCCACTACATGTTAGAAATGTTAAAAAAAACGCTTTTTCTACATGTCTTGCTAAATGGCAGACTTTAAACATATGCATAGTTGAAGCAAATCGTGATGGTGTTAATAGGTGCTAATCTGAGTAATAAGTACAGAGGTCAGATAAACCTTTAAGAAAACCCAAACCAAACAAAACAGGGTGTTTTAGATAGATCATTTAGGAGGAAAACTGGTATTATGTTCAGTTCATTATTAGTCTTTACTGTGTTAACTGATAATTCAGTTTGGTTACTTTGACATTAATTGTTTATCTTCTAGCTCAATAATTTAAAATAAAAAACCCCAAACATAACTTTTCCAGTCATTCAGGGTTTAGCAGTTGGACCACCTCTTGAAGTGCAAGAACCAGTTGCTTTCAAAAACAAATGGGTTGTGGTGTGAAATAGGACTAAATTTGAAACAGATGTGTTTTATGCAGCTAAATTCAAGTGAAATAAAGCAGTAAAGTTCTGTGTAAATACATTTTAGAAAGGTACTTGAAGAGCGTTAATTTGTTCACTTTACAGATCTTGTGAATATGACTGTCGTAGATGGCTTTTTTTGCCTTTGTGTTAAGTCTGTTGTCAGAATCATTTCACTGCATTTTCCTCGGTGAAGGAAATACCACTGTCTTCCCCTTGTTAGGCAAAATAACTATTTTTTTTCCCCCTAAAATTAACACTTCTAGAAAAAACTGAAGGCAAATTGTACCACACTCAGCAGTGTTAAATATTATAGTCGTGTTTTGTTGTTAACTGCTGTTGGACTGGTTAAATTATCTTTTTGAATCATTGTTTACAGGGATAATTTTCTGGATAGTATTGCAAATTAGTAACTGGGGAAAACAAACCCTGAAATGTTCTTCTATGGCTTGGAGATGAGGAGACTGAGGGATGACCTCATTAATGTTTATAAATTTGTAAAGGGCGAGTGGCAGGAGGAAGGAGCCAGGCTATTCTCAGTGATAACCCGTGACAGAACAAGGGGCAATGGGAGCAAGCTGGAACATAGGAGGTTCAATCTGAACATGAGGAAAAACTTTTTTACTGTGAGAGTGACAGAGCACTGGAACAGGCTGCCCAGGGAGGGTGTGGAGTCTCCTTCTCTGGAGACATTCAAAACCCGCCTGGATGCGTTCCTGTGTGACCTGATCTAGGTGATCCTGCTCTGGCAGGGGGGTTGGACTGGATGATCTTTCGAGGTCCCTTCCAGCTCCTGAGATTCTGTGAAAAGTGTTTTCGAAATTGAATGAAGTCATGCTTCTTTTCCAGTTTCAAATGGCAGTAGAATTAAAATAACTTCTCTACAAAAATAGCTTTTGATATTCTTTCTCAGCCTTTTAAAAGAAAATCATAAAGGAATTAAGTAACTATGGAGAAAATGAAATGTCTGGAAAGATTTGGGAGATGCAGAATAAATAAATGAGTTATTTCAGAGTTTCAGATTGTATCCTCAGGTGTGCTTTTAAAAGCATGTATTTATTCATACAATGTTTCTGAAAAAGACTAGCAAATGGAAACAGTGGTTAAATAGATGGCAGGAACAAGATTGTCCATTTTTTGCTGAATGAGATTCAGAGAAGAGAATGCAAAATACAAACATTGTTCCATCCTGTAGTGTAATATTGGCAGAAATGAGCAAAAGAGGTTTAGCGTAAGATCTTCTTGTCCTACAACTTTTCAGAGAGCAAAATATTAGAAGCTTGTCTCTATGTCTAACAAAGATAACCAAAATGTCCATATTTTTGAGACTAACAGCAACATTAATCCTCTGCGTTAATTAACACCCAGTAGGATGATTGTCCTCTTTTTACTTGGTAGCTGTTTACCACTAATGCAATCGGACACAGTCTAATATTTAAATAAAAATGACCATTTGGTAAGGTTTGAGGGTTATCTTGATTTCTTAAAGTAATATATACAGAACTATATATGTAAAATATCAGGAAGGATGGTGTTTGAACCAACAGTAGACAGTATCATATTGAATAGAACTATCCTAGTTTTTAGTGATTCCAGAAAACACTGATGGTGCTCACTAGGTAATTCATTGCCTATTTGGAGAGGCCTCTGAAACAGTTTTAGTTCCAGTTCTCTTTTAAAAGAAAGTACAGAAGATAAGGGAATCTTTGTTATTGGCAAACTTGGTACATCTTCTCTTAAGAAGTTGCTTGACCATCACCTGAATTGCCTGAACTTAAATTTGTACGTGAAATTAAGGTTTGGGGTTTTTGGTATGTGTGTCCTACTTCACTGAATTTTTATTGAAAATTAATTTCCTTTTTTTTTTTCTTTTAATTAAGTGTGCTTTGTAGTCTGCTACTTTTTTTTTCTCCTTCACAAGGAGCTCCACTTAACCCTTCATGAGCTACATTCAGTCTCTGTTCAAGCAGGAGAAACACACCTATTAGTTATTGACAGCTTAGCTTCTGAAGAGTTACCTTTTTTTTTTTCCCTCCTACATTTCAGGCAAATTCAACTTTTCCAGAGCACATTTGATTCATGACAGAAACTAAATTTGTAAGGAGGGATATTTTTATTTGCTGTACTAAGGTTTTTACGTTTTTAAATGGGCCTTATTAGCAGCCTGGTCTGTCCTATAAGCAGGATACAGCAGCTTCTTGAATGACTTGGGCCAGCGAGTCTGTGGCTGCCACGTTAAGCTCGCTGCTTTTTACAGAAAAGGTTGCCTCTTGAATCCCAAGGTTTGTTTCTTGGCTTCCTCCCTGCATCCTTTTATCATGCTATGGACCTGGCTTTCTGCTTTCTGACTGTTGGCTTTATGTGGTCAGCCCTGTAATAGCAGATTGATCATTATGAAAAAGATGATCTTGATCGTGAATGAAGATCATGGTGTGCCAAGATGATGAATGTTGTTCTTTCATGTTGTTCTTTTGGGTTGTTGAGATGTCAAAACATTGTTTAATAATCTGCTTGCATCCTTTCACCTCTGATTATTGGCTTTTATTTAAATTATAGAGATGGGCAGAGCTGTGGATCTTTTTACATAAAAGAATAAGATTAGTTTTTTCTTATGTTTACCTGGTTTTGTTTGTTTGTTTGCTTGCTTAATAAGAACTTCATGGCTCTGTTCAGCTCTGGAAAATATATAAACTTATATATAATTATATGTAAATATGTATATATATTTTAATATA